GGGTCGTAAAAAATTTTCGAAGAGTCACAACGATAGGGTTGACCCTGGTTGAACTGTTGCTCATAAGGGCTTCTCTGATAGGTTAGACTGCTGCCAGATGTACGGTGCCAGAGCCCCTAGTGAGTTCAATTTGAGGACTGGCTCAAAGTGAAGTAGTTATTTCACTAGTTTTGAGAACTTCATGAAATTTGGTTTCATTAGGAAGAAGACATTGTACCCTCTCACATAGTGCACAGAAAACGAGATGAAAATGGAGCGATACGGAAAAAAGTGGATATGACTGCGCGCGCACGCGGTCCTCATAATTTTGGACCACCCTGTATACAACCTCCACTCTTAAGTCGCCTGGATTTGTTTCTGATAGTTTGGGAAAGCATGCACGAGATAGTAGGTGAAGCCGTAAATACTGTTAGCTATGCTTAATCGTGATACATAAAGGGAATCATCTCCAAGGTGGGCTCGATCGAGTGATATGTCAAGCTTTTATGACTTCTTACTTGGCTGTCGGTGCGACGGAAAATGATTGAACATTGCCCACAGAGAAGACAGAAGTGGAGAGGTGGAGGATCCTTCAAATGGAGATTTTTTGTGCAGCACCAAATTAGCAGCTTTTCCACCTTTGCTTCTTCTTCTCAAACCATCTATGTGAAGGTCCTTCTTAGAAAGGAGCTTTCCAACCATTCTGTGCAGATTTGGCCCATCAACGACTGCTATGGTAATGGCGACCTAGTATTCCTTCCCTTGTAAGAGCGTTTTTCTCGCATAGCACCGTCGGGGAAGGATAGGCCGTACTAGTGCTAACAGTGATTTTTTGTGATTTTTTTCGTTCTCTTTCGCTGCCAAACCAATTAGCACTTTCGTCGTAATTGAGCTCCAAATTTACCCCTCCCTTTTTTGCTATAGCGGAATTTGCCTTTAACATGTCATCTGAATATAATTTGCCGTGAATGTCATACAGTCGATATGAAAGTTGTTTATAACATTTTATTGTGGTCAATTGGATTGTATTTGGGCTCTAGCTGAGTACAGTGGTGTGGAAGAAGTATCACATCAGACGCAGAATCCGCACGTCTTGGCACAGCTTTGCATCTTTTGAGCTGTTGTGTAGAAAGCATTCTCGCAGAATCCATTCACTTTCCAGGAAGCACATCTGAATGAGTGTTCAAGTAATGCACAATTTCAATAAATATTAATTTTCCAATGTGTAACATTCCATTCGACGCATTTCTTCAGAAACGTAGCCTCAGTTTACGCCTATCGATCTAACAACTGCGACGTGCCGCAGCAGCACGCGTCTCACGTCAGAGCTCTCGAACTCTGCTATCTACGACCATGTTCTGGGCAGCCATGTTATGCGATCTGTTTAATGTAGTTCTTACTTTGTGCTGCTGTCGACGCACGCACCGCCTGGCGGGTAAGTGTAACCTCCTGGATAGGTGGTAGCTGAAATGTGAAGATTTCAAGATTCTATGGCTTTCGGTAAGAAGAAGGGTGCTATGATCTGAAAACGGAACAAACACAACTCACAAGCGTTATCGCAGTAACCACAGGTCTTTTTGCAGTTGGCCATTGTGAACGCCTAAAAGAAATCGACGGACTTCAAGTGCTTCAGCAACGAAATAAGTACCGTGGACTCCTACGAACCTGCATGTCAATGTTGCGGCAGATACTCTTATCATTGGCACACTCGATAGCTGCATCCACGCATCCTCCTGAAGAAGCACAAAAACTAAGAGAGGGCTTATGCCAGAATATCTTAGGTAAGCTTACCATCTTTGCAGAATCCGCACACATTGGGGCAGTCACGTGCGATGATTTCACGCCATTTCGGATCCTTGCATTGGGCCTGAGTGATACTGGCGCACGTCACACCAGGGACTGAAAACCAATGAATTGCAAAAAAAAGCAGTAGGGTGTGACGGCCAGGAGGGGAAGCAAATTTGTAGAATTATATGCAGGGAGGGCGTTTAGAGACAGTCTGATCACTTTCTTCATCACAGGCATGGGTGCGTTCGGACTGCCTCCTCAGCGCCTCCACCAATGACGTCTCAAGCAAGTCCCGCCTCCCAGTCATCGCACCGAGTGCCCTTAAAGGCAAGATTCGGATAAAATAGGTGTGGAAAAGCGTTCAGTTATGAAGCTAGAGGTGGGAGGTGGTCTGGAAAAGAGAAGGAAAGCAAACGAAACCACCGATTACGCCCCGCACAGAGACCTCCCCTATTTCAGCCGCATTCCACCTTGGGATAGAGAAGGGGCGCGTTGGACGAGTTTCACGAACCTAACTCTAGTTGCTCCAGTGCCAATGACATTGGGTCGCAATGGGACCGCTGCCTCAAATGCGCCCGCGCTTTTCAAGCAGCGCCACGTGGCAACCGACAGCGGAGGGTGGGGCTTGCGGACGAAGGTGTGAGTTGCGGGTCGGACGAGCTCCTTGCGCCTTTGTCGCGCACTTTCAAGCGGCAAAAGGGGCGCGACATCAACGCTTGTCCGCCTGTCTACTACCCCGGGATGGAACAGGCGAGCGCGCCTAATCGCGGAGCGTGCCTTTAAGTTCGTTGAGGGCGCGTTGCATCGTGAAGCAGACATATTTTAAAATCAAATGAGTGACTCGTTGAAGTGCCTCTATCCTTAATAAAATGCTTCCTTGCCTCCTTTCACTAAAACGAGTAGAAGAGCAGACTTAAAGCCTTTGGGTTGACTACAGTAAACGCGTTAGTCAATAGACCCGTAAACATCGGAGGAAACTTGTGAATGCGCATTGTCTTCATGCATTTCACAGGTGTTTAGTTATCACAAATTGCTGAATCTAGGGAAGCGTTGTGCTCATTTCATCAGTTGTTGAAAACAAGATCTAGAAAAGAAAGGTCGTTCCTTTAGAAACTAACTTACACTCTCTGTTGACACAGTTATATGCGTCAGTCAAGCAGCAATACCCACACGTTTTTGGACACATTTTGATCATTGCTTGCTTCTTCTCTTCCGAATCAGCGCTGGATAACTAAAGGCGTAAATTCCCGAATAAATTCTTTAGCAAGTGTAAATTCGAAAAAAAAACCTGGCTAAAAGCGCACCTGAAAGCAGTTAGACGCACGATCAGTGTCGGTCCCAATAGCAAGAGCTGTTTGGGCAGCAACAATCGAATCGCAGATTGCATCCGACACAGTATTGTCACATCCAAGGGCTCTCTCGGACCACTGAACGATTTCTTTGAGAAAATAAATATGCTATGGATTTTAACCAGGGGCAGTGAGTGTAATGGCCGGGAGGCGGAGTTAATTTGGAGTCGTAATTGGCGGAAAGGCGTTGGGAGGCGGTCCGATCACATCGCGCTGGAAGTGTGGTTGGTCAAACTAGCCTACTACGAAACGCCAGAATCGGATACCGTATAACGGGTAAGAAATTCAGTAAACACCTCCACTAGTTTTCCCATGATTTGGTGATGGAAGTATGGAAGAAACTGCTCCGGTATATGACTTCAAGCACAAGTGACTCCAGAAGGTGCTAGAAATTGGGGCAGGTTAAGTTTCACGTTCCTTTTTGTTACCCTGTCTTTAAAGCCCTTAGGTGTTAAAGAGCCGTTATTAGAAACCATATGCAATTGAACTAGGTTTTTTGAAAGGACCTTAGTTGCTGGCCACTGGCCCTTAAGGGTACTAGTTGGAAATGTCAGAGCTTCGTTGGTCGAGAATTAGCCCTAAATGCGGTTCGAGGCCTATATGATGCGCATAAACTCACCTTTCCATCAGGGCTGGTGC